AAAAAAACATTTAATTATGCATCGATAATTAATCGCAAGCTTAAGGTAGCATATTTATCTTACACATTCATAATTATACTGATAGTCGAATTGATTTTGATAATAACAGCAGAACTGATAATAATAAGATTGTAACGATAACGATAGTAAAATAGTGAAACTTCATCGAAATCAACATTATTCAGTGATCAGCTTTCAAGCAAATGATGGCAACAATGAGGCCAGCAACGATAATTAAGAGTATTATATAAGTGGTGACTTCGATCAGATTTTTATAGGTTTTGGTACTGATTCGAACGAATCGCATTGATTTCTGTTGATCATCTTCGATGGTTGTTTCATTTGAGTGCGTAGATAGAGATGGTATGGACAGAGTTTCAAATGCTGACCAACAATACTTCTCAGCTGGTTCACATACTGGTTCACAGCTTGGAGTGATCACAATCGCAGGCATATCATAAACCCTTAAATTTGATTATTGACTTTGAAAGATCAATGTGAACAAGGCAAAATCTGGTTAGATTGATCTGGATGTCGATTGATCTGGCAGTGTCGATCAATTTACTGCTGTGTTCAATCAGTCAGTATTGTTGCCTTCGGTGATTTCATCTTCCCTATTGAGTGTTTCGCAGTCATGCCTCATTGTTTCGTAGGATTGGTTCTTCGTGTGGTTGATTGAAATGCGGTGTGGCTAGATTCATCTTCGACTGTTTATTTTCATATTTTACGTCGAGCTGTGCATTTCATGTTTACTTCTGTGGATACCTCTGAAGGTTTCATTGTCACTTTCGTTCTCCGCTGGTTTCGTTCAGCATCACTATCCAATTAAAAATGCCTCAATCGCCTCTCACTTACAGATCTGTTTCGTTCCATATATCTATTTTCAGAAAGATGCATGCGTATTGTTAGGTAAATGAATGGACGTATTTGATATTTGTTTAAAAACGTTGAAATGCTCTCATCCTCGCATAGAAACGTTGACTTAACTTCATTGAAGTGTTATTTCACTCAAGATTGCTATGCGATATGACATTTCGATCAGATGAAGTGATCAAACGAAAATGAGAACGAGAACGATGGATGACATACCTTTTTGGCAGATGGCTGATCGAATTGTTGTGCATCGTGTCACCCGAACGAACGCTTTGCTGGGAAGAATGAAATGCTAGTAAAGTAATAATAATATTATTATTCCATCGAAGGGTGTTCGCTATTGTAGGGTGCGTGCGATGCGTTCATCGTTCCTATTGAGAAAAAGCACGGAAAATTTCTTGTTAATCGAATTATTGGAACGTTGAATGGTCTTTTAATGGAACCATTAAGTTCATGTCTCGTACCTCTACGATGCCGACAAACGACTAGTTTATTCCTCTTTGTTACTCGTAATTGTTGCCGTTGAATTGAAGCTTTTAACGAATACGATGAGAAAATCCCATGAAAATGCGTCAAGAGATCGAGGAGAATTGATTTGAATTGATTCTCATACGTTGAGAAGAAAATTTGCTCTGAGAATGAATAAAATTGATCGTGTGATATCGATGCGAAATGAATCTGTTTATTTTCATATTATGTGTTATGTGCAAAATAAGTATTTGTAAAGTGGTTGGTTGATTCACACGGAACAATGGTCTTATTAATCGTAAGGTTTTTGTATGTTCTCATATCGGAACTTCGTTACCATTGACGTAAATGTTCAAATGCTGCTGTTTGAATTATTTTCATGCATGCTCGTTATAGTATATTTGTGGTTTGATCATTGCACAATGACCAAATGATTATTTCATAATTGCACAATAACATAGCGAATCAGCGAGTAACTACTTTTAGACACAGTCTCTCTGATTGTGTTGGAATATTTCGTAACGATCTTCTCTATTGTACAGTGCGTTTATATATATTGTGCTCTCACAACCAGAAGTCTTACCACGTGCGATTGGATGGATATCTCATCTACATGAAGGTACTTTTTTGATATTTGATAATCATCTCATTTAATATCTCATCTTATTTGGTATCTCATCTCCCAACTTCTTATGATTGCAACCTCCACTTTGCCGATTTATCTCATGCGTTTTTATGATGGAATCGAGTTGATTATTCATTCACTTGTTTACAATTTGAAACAATAGTTACTGAGCCATGCATCTTTATTGAATGCTTTTTGATGGTGTCTGCGAGAGAAAATCTAAACTGTTCACTTCATTGCGAAGAGATTTCGCGTGAACGATGAAAATGACAAAATTTTTTACTAACAATAAGATAAACAAGCAGATAGATCTATTTACAACAAGTGAGAAAATTGTGCAGCATTGAGTATAATAAGAATAATCAAATCTTTTGAGTATATAATGGTGATTTTTGTGCAGCATTGAGTATATAATATGTTCCGTGCTTTCATAAGCGGTGAAATGGTGATTTTTATTCAAATAAATAGCGAAATCAAGCAGCAATAATTTGAGTATGAGCAAACGATTTTTGAAAATTACACACATCAAGCATAGAACCAATATTTGGAATGATAGAATTTTGCTTTTCGAACTTAAATTGATAAGCGAATCATTGAGTTGCGCTAGCATCATGCCGTGGTCTTCTTTTCACGTCTTATATCTCGTAACTTTTCGATAACTGGTGTTCGTTTCTGAAATGCAATTGATCTTTTGCACTTTGATATTCACTCGCATTAGTAACTGAATACGCTGACTTTGATGGAGTCACTTCATTTTGCAAATGGNTTTGTTATAGCAAACAGTGTGTATGCTGCTTTTGAGAAAGACTATGGAAGTGAATCGTTTCGCATGAAAGCGATAAAAGTGGGATCGCTGACGTGAGCGAGAGAAATTCAGTGAACTAGCGCGATAAGCTCGTTCCCAATTCATGAACTAGCGATAAACTCGAGCTGTGCGCAGTAAGCCGAAGTGATCAGCGAAAAATTGAATGTTACCAGCAGCTATCAGTGATGGGAATGAATTGTTTTTGTGATGAGAATGAATAGATGAGCATATAGCATTTGAGAATTAATAATCTGATGATATATTGAATTGATGGGTATAGGATAAAGGAGTATTTATTGTATGGTTCATAAGGATATTCTGCATTGATTCGAGACAAACGCGCTCAGCAGTCAATCATCACCTACCTCTTTGGGTCGTCGATCTTTGACGTTGAATGAAGTGACACTGATAGTTTTGGCCCATTTAATCTTGCTTGGTTGCGGTGTACGCGCTTTCGGTGGATCGTCACCTTCGGGTTGTAATCGAATCACGGATTCGACAGTGTTCGAAAATACTATTGTTTCACGATCGAACAACACATCATCCTTCAATACTATTCACTAGCACCGTTCCGTTCACGTCTCAGCGATACAAACTTCCTAGTAGTGGAGAGTAGATGATAAAGTGACAGCACAGTTTTATGATATTACTCAAAACTTGCACTCTTACGAAATCTCAGATTGTGTTTGAGTGGCTGGCATTCAGTTGTTCAGCTTGATATAATGTTGTTTGTTCGTGCANAATTGACAACAATTTTGCATGGTAGTAAGAAAATTAATATATTAGTTTGTCTGCTTGACTTATTTCGGGTAGTTTTGCAGGAGGGAACTTATAAGTAGGAATGGAATGGATAGAGCTGGCGAATGAATACATACAGCTTTCATCTTGGACACAGGTCCGAACGGATCGAAGACAGTTTTATTGAATGGTCTTGGGTCGAGCACTTTCTTGCCTGTACAGACTTGTTCCAAAATATCCATATCCACCGGTAAATCGTCATCGGTCATATCATCGTCATCACTGAATAAGGTATTGTTCTATGATCAGACTCTTTTATGTACGCTCGAGCGAACGATTAGATTTTGATTGCTGATCATGTATACATTGCCTAGGGAGCAGGCAGATAAGGTTGATCACTCGGAGCTCAGATTGATTGAAATTAGAATGCACTCACGGCGGTGGTAAGAGCACCCAAAACGGTAATCCATTGATAAGTGGATTAGCGGCGTTCTTGCCATATCCAGACAATTGCTTTTTATCACTTTTATCTTTTGCTTTTCCCGTGACGACAGCAGTGCTTTTCTCCTTTTGCCACTCACTTGCTTTTGGACTTTTAGACGACGATGCCTGCGATACGAATGATTTGTCTCTTTAACGAGAAATTCTTTGAGGATATTGTTCTTACAAAGGATTTCGAAGATGACTCAGAAGCAGTGCTTTCGTCTGTGCCTTTCGAATCGGTCGTGTCTCGTTGTCCCGTTGTCGTACTAGTGCTTTCTGGTAAAGCCGAATGATCGGTCATATCCACAGCGGCCGCAAGTGCTACTGGTGGCGCTCTAAAACAAGCAGCAATCGACTGGCGACGTGA